GTTTTAATTACAATAAAATATTAATTCATCTTTTCGACTTAAATATCAATGTGGAATAAACGTTACCTTAATAGTAATTGGGAAATCTTAAAGATAGAAAAGAAGAAGGCTTCTCTTGGTAAGAGTGAAATTTTCGACATTAACCGACCGGGTAAAATGAGTTTTCAGTAAATATAGAAAATTACCATGCATTGAAGCGAAACCAATATTTTTATTTGTAGTGCATAATGAATGGCGTTTATATTCAAATTGTATTATTTAAATAGCAGCAAATATCGATCCAGTATTGTTTTACCATTGAAGTTGAAATATAATTAGCTAATAGCAAATATAAACATTTAGATAGCAATTCATGATCTGTAAATAAAGGCAAATAGGTAGATGAAAGGGAACGGCTAGAAATGAGCTGTAAGTGACATGAGGACTAATAGTTGAATTTCTCACAATTGAATAGTTAGGTCTCATTGCCTTGCCTCTCAAAAAGTTGCCCCATTCTTGCATGACCTTAACCGACATAAGATGGCTAAAGTTTTTAATAAAGATGTACTGATAGTTTACAAGCGAAAACATGTACCAACTAAATATGATGTAAAAGCTAAAAATTATATATATATATATAATATTATAATATATTGTATTGACCAAGAATAATTGACCTCTTTCTATCCTTATTGCTCCGTTGGGGTGGGTGCTCTGCTTCACTCCGCTTGCCCTTAAGGATTCTGGAGAGACTCACAGCAGCCTGGTAAACAGCAGACCTTGGCTCGTTGAAGGTTTTTCCATTCCTTGCCATCAGGTGAAAGTCTTTCTCCATGTCGGCAAGAGAAGGGTATACACCGGACAAAACCCGTTGTGCTATCATGCGCAAATCAATCGGTTCTTTTATAACAGCATAGTAGGCAGGGTACAACTAAAGAGGATAAGAAAGAGAAGTAGCAGGTAGAATATGCTGTTTGGTTATGTAGATACGAAGAATAACTAGGTCTGGCCTTGATAACCACAGCCTGACATTAGCCTTTTTGATCACTCTGATTAAGGATCGGTATTGTGAATAGACGTTAACACACACACACACACACCAGCAAAAGTAGCAGGAATTGTATGAAAGATAACTAGCAAAACCATTCTATATCTATTTATGCCTGCTTATTTTCGCTTTTGGTTATGAGTATACATAAGAGGTAACATAGAGCCGGAAAGTCTTCATGACGTAGTGTCAACGTGAGACTTTTACAACAATGAGTTTCAGCTCTGAGGATGTTCATCATATGATGGACTAAAGCTCAGCCCGTTTTCATCCGAAGAGAGGGCCAACTTGAAAATAGGGTGAAGAGTTTGCGTGCATAATTCTGACTGAAGATAGGTAAGAATGATGATTATATAACTAGGCACTAGATGAGCACTTAATTATCACTCGACTTAAATGCTTCCC